GTGTATCTTCTTCTTCTTCTTCTTCTTCTTCTTCTTCTTCTTCTTCTTCTTCTTCTTCTTCTTCTTCTTCTTCTTCTTCTTCTTCTTCTGTTGATTATGATGTGAGTTTTTAGGTCTGATCATGAGATACATTGTACTTTTTGTGCTTTACTGAATTAACTATCAGGAAAAGTGAATGTGTAATTAATGCGTCTCCTGTTGGTAGGCAAAATATGGGGCTTCGTCTTGTGGCTTAGCAAAATATGAAACTAAATAGAGTCTGAAAAAAGAGATTACATACAGTTTCATAATCTCAAAGACCAACTCAAAGGTAATTAAAAGTTACCCCTAACTTGCGTTCTACTTATTTCAATGCACCGTCTAAAATATAGTAAAAAGCAAAATAAGAAGCAAAATATGGATAAAGCTGAGTCCTGCCTGTAGCGAATCTTTCCTGGGCCTGCTGTCAGAGGATATCCGGACGCTTCCTTAGAATACAATGTGGTCTTTTATTTTTTTAAAGAAATAAATTAATGTACATGTCTTTACCACTCCATTGACATAACATTGTTCATAAAGGAAGTGGCCTATGATCCTATCTGTTAGGGTCAATCCGGGATGAGAGAAAGACAGAGATACTCAACAAAAAAAAAAAATTCTCACTACCTAGATCTAGATATCGAACACCGGTCTTTAGCGTGCTACGGTGAAGCTCCTAACCTCTACACCACAGACACTGGAACAATTGGGTTAAAAGTAATGCTTTTTGGGCTTTTTTTCCCCCAACAATCTGTGTATCCGTAGCGGTGTAGTTCTGCATGATAAGGTCATGTATTTAATCAAGCCCAGCCTTTAGTTATTTTCAGTGCGTCAGAGACAGAGGTTGCGTTGGTACGTATTCTTTGTTCTTTGTTTGTGCTTGTTCTCTGCTGAAGGCCCAGGTCTCACTACAATGTACCATCCAGATATAACATTTTCTCACAACATATACAGCCGAAAATGAGATGTAAAGGAGCAGAAAAGAACTCGATATCTTTCTTGACTGATGCAATGATGCTGAGCAGACTGGGCTGTCTATTGTTGGAAATTAATGTGTCCCGATCTGCCAACCCACCAAGTACTTAATTTCATTTTGAGCATGGTTGCCTTTCTCACCCTGGATCAAGCACTTCCATGTTTCTTATCTTGAGCTAGCTTCAGGGCACTTTTCCATGTCTTTACACATTTCTCTTCATCTTGCTGCTGCAAATTCTGCTCCTTTGTCTCCCAAGATCCGCGGGAAAAAATGACGTATTTCCTTGTGTTTGGTAACTTTTAATTTTTCTCAGGATCACGTAGTTGGCAACCAAATGCCTTTTTGGGGGGAGACAGACTTGGGCATATTTAGTCCCCAAGGTAGCATGTTGGAATCAGGCGCTCGTTGAAATACAGAAAGTCGAGAAACGGATATTTTTTCGCAGGTTTGGGAATTTCTATCGAATTTTTGTTTTTTGGCTCAATACCTTTCATGCCCATTACAGAACATATTATATTTCTGTGTGTGTTTTACTGAAAAACGTTGATTAAAGACATAAAAGAGGTAAAGTTTCAGTTTCCATGGACTCTCAAGCTAAGGAAACAACTCAACTTTAGTGACCATTTTCTCGCTAATTTTACATCTGAAACCAGGTGACCCCCACCTCCTTAAATCGCCAATATCGTGACCTGTATCCAAAATAAATGGATATTGTTTTCATCAAAAGCAAGACAAATGGACAGGCTTCAAGATGATTCCAATAACTCCACATGCCCCAAATATGACGAGCGCCTAATTCTACCGCGCCGTGACACCTTTGTTCCTCCATGGTGAGCATTTATTGAGTTGAATGAAATGAAATGGCCTGGTACAGCAGACTCCTCCCCCCCCCCCCTCTAACTTTTCAAACGGTCTTCTACTTCAGCATCTTAGGTAAGTAGTGATAAGTTTATTCAGCGAAAGTCTCAGAAAGTGGGCTTAGTGTGCAGAGTTTTATGTTGGAAGAAAATGGGAAGGCTTTTTTCCGTGAAAGGAGAGGAGGAGAGGTGGGGAGGAAGGTTGAGGGTGAGGAAGACGGTTTTTGGATACTTGCTTACCGTCGGGTCTATAAGACTGAGATTAGTCGATGTCACACGTGTATGCCCGTGGCCACCTTCTCAAATCTTGGCATATCTAGGCTTTGGGTGATCGCTACATCCCAAATTGTGTTTCTGTAGCGTAACTTCCAGTTGGTTTGCCTCTTTTTTTCAAGCTGGTATCCAATGCTATGTCTGATAGGCCAATCTTGTCTTTGGCATTCTTAAAAAATGCCCTGAATATCTCATTTTATCCTTTTTTATGGTCGTGTTCATATCTTCAGCCCCAGCTCTTTCTAACACTTAATTATTTGTATTAAATTGATTCCACTTCATTCATAAAATTCCTCGTAAAGATTTTAATTGGAAACTTTTCAACTTCCATTGAATTGCTTTGTTTATTTTTCATACCTCCGAACCATACGTCAGTGCAGCCACAACATTGCTGTTGCTTTGTAGTTTTAATTTGGTCTTCAATGAAATAGACAGCGAAAGATCTTGTCAGTATGTTAGTGTTTTAGAGCGTATAAATGGCAGCTTGTACTGTATGCTTCCCAGGAAGTTGAGATTGTTTTAAAATGCTATCAGGTATGCTGGGGTAGTAGTATAGATTGTAAAGGGCATATAGCTTGCTGTTGAGCGGCATTTTGTGCTGTACAAACGCTATATATTATAAATAAATAATTTTTGAATTCCAAATGGTTTTCAATTTTACGAAGCTACCTAGGCATTAACACAATTTCGGTGGACGTTGTCAATTCAGTACACAGTTTTGGAGATAATGCTTCGAAGTTACATAAATTTACTAATTTCTCCATAAAACTGATGATATTTGTGTTTCTGGAGATTATGGCGACACATCTGTTTTGGAAACATTTATTGAAAGGCCAACTTTTTCTGTAGCTCTTATTACTAATTCACTTGTTTTTAATTGTTTTTCATGTACTCTGGTGTTTAATAGGTTGCTGTCATCACCAAAATCTAGATCCCAACTATGCACCATTTGTCATTGCAATGCCCGTGTCAATGTCTTTGCTCTATCTCACTGTTAAATCGATCATAATTTTTTTTTTTAAACAGGTGATAGTAAACAGCCTTGTCTAACTCGAGTATTTACTTCAAATGGTATAAATGGTTCTCCTCCAACAAGAACACAGTTGCTTGCTTTGGTATATAAGGATATTAAAATGTTTATTATTTTCATCGGGATGCCATGGTTTGCCTGAATGTTCCACAGAGCCATTCGGCCTAGGCTGTCAAAGACTTTTTGATGTCCACAAAGTTCAAAGGTTTTTAGATACACTGTACGATAATTTGACACACACGAGTATTTACAGTGTGACTATTTAGATACACTATGATAAAAAATCAACGCCCGCTTTAAATTTCTGCAGCTAGTGCCCTGATTGAGGTTTTGACTCATTATTCTCTTTTATTGCCTTGACTTGCACAAGACGATATACATTTCCCTTGAATATTCAGACAAAGTCATTCCATATCTTCTGGGAAGCAAGAAGCCACAAGAGGCAGACAACCTTGAAGACAAAGAATCATGGCTTGCGGACCATTCCGAGCTATTATTGCACTCATGGTAGTGATTGCGATGAGTGAAGCAAAGCTCAACATCAGCTTTTCCGCACTTCCTACAACTTGGACACAGGTTGGAATCGTTCCGGCTGCAGCAGGCTCGAGGGTAGTTAATGGTGACAACGCAGAGCGAGGAAGTGCCCCTTACATCGTTAGCTTACAGGTAGGCCAACAACGCAAACACTGGAAAGCGGGGTCAAGACATATTAATATAACAAATGGAATCATATGTGATAAAGTGTCTTGTTAGCCATAACACAATTATGTATGTATGTATGTATGTATGTATGCATGTATGTATGTATGTATGTATGTATGTATGTATGTATGTATGTATGTATGTATGTATCTATCTATCTATCTATCTATCTATCTATCTATATATCTATCTATCTATCTATCTATCTATCTATCTGTCTATCGTTCTGTCTGTCCTTATATCTATAATTCTATCTTTTTATTGTTTATGTGTATATATTATTCTATCGTTCAATCTATCGTTACATTTATTATATACCGTTCGATCTGTCCATCGATCTATTTTTGTCTATATTATGTATATCGTGCAATATTTTTATTTTGCTTTCAATCTTTCTGTCTATATATCTCTTTTCTGTCTTGTTTATATCAAATATTTTATTTCGGCAATTTGTGAGGCTTACATTATATATTATTATCGTAACTATACAGCGGGCTAAAAAGGCTCTCTTGCCCTTAAAATTATTTTACTCACTGTTTCTATAACAACCCCTGCCATATTATAACTCAGATACATGTACATGTATCCTCCTTTACGCCCTTGGCCTCCCCCTAAATTCCCCATTTGTTCCGACTCGATACAATTGGAAAATATACCGGGTGCAGGCAAGAAATTTTCCATCATCGAGTGGCAAAAACAGCCACTTGTGTACAATTTAATTAAGTTCTCAAATATCAATTCATTTGTATGGAACAGTTCACGGCCAGGTTCATTGATGAAATCGTGGCCAACAGCCATTCAGAAGGCTAGCACACATTCATTTGTACTCTTTTGTTTGCTTGCGGAATGCGGATTGAGATTCCTGATCAGAACTGATTAAGTAAAGCAAATGCCAATTTGATAGAGGGTACAATGGTTAACGTCATTACCCTACAGGACCTAACCCGACCATGCATTTGATCAATGATCATAACATGTCGTTTCATGACTTGGTGGAATTAGGCTCTCATCAATTTTTGGGCATGTGGAGCTATGGGTATCGTCTTAAAGCTTGTTCAGTTTTCTTGCTATCGGTGAAAAAAAAAGCTCATCTATCTTGAATAGAAGTTAAGGTATTTTAGATTGAAGAAAGTGGGGTCGCCTGGTTTCAAATGTAGATTAGCGAGAAAATGGCCGCCAAAGTTTGGTTATTTCCATAGCTTGATAGTCCGTGCAAACTGAAAACTCACATTTTTCCTATGCCTTTCATCAACGTTTTGTCCTGTAAAATCCACCCAAAAAAGTGTTCTTAATTAGACAACAATGTTGTTAAGCCAAAAATTAAAAATTCGATAAGAAATTGCCAAACTGGCAGATAAATGCCGGTTTCTTCACTTTCAGTACTTTGACAAGCGCCTGATTTCACCACGCTGCGACACATATCATTACGTTTCCCTCAGGCGGTCGTAGCGAACAAGAGCTACCACATATGCGGTGGTTCTATCATCTCACGCACCAAGATACTGACCGCTGCCCATTGCCTCGTGTATTGGGGTCGCTTCCCGCATCAGGTCGGCGTGGGTTTCCGTAACCTGGAGGTTGGAGCAAACGCTACAGGCGCGGCCGTTATACAAGTGAAGTCTGTTGAAATTCACGATGAGTACCACCACGACCTCTCAAAAGGCATTCCTAATGACATCGCAATTCTTGAACTGGCGTCACCTGTGCCCCACTCCAAGTGGGTTCAGGTAAAGTAATAAATAGCTGTTTAGCGCAGAGACCATGGATATGCGTTATATGAGGTATTATTGTAATTATTATGTGCACCGTGGATGCCATAGAGCATTTCTGTTCACTATATTATAATATATAATTGCAATAAACTATTATTATTATTATTATTTCTATTTTTCTATTATTATTATTATTATTATTATTATTATTATTATTATTATTATTATTATTATTATTATTTTCATTATTATTTGTTATTATTATTAATATTATTTTTTATTATTATTATTACGATTACAATCACTATAACTATAAGTACTATTATCATGATTATCTTAAATTTATTGATATTATTATATTCGTTACTGTTATTTGAAGTTTTGTTATTATTGCTATTATTAACGTTTACTTATGAGTGAATATATCATGTTGAGCGCCTATTATTGTGGATGCAAAAAAATGTCTCTGAAGATGCAAAATTAATTGTCCTTTAAATTGATATTATGCTGTATGAGTGAGTGGTGCAAGGCTTTATCAAGGTGGTTGAATGAGTACATTTTCAATTTTCTTTTGGATGCCCCTTTATAGAGCATTTCCACAGAGAGAATATTCAATGCGCTTTGCAATAATACAGTGAACTCGAGCACAGTGCAGTTCTTATAACGAACATTACTCTCCGGTTCTCTCTCTCTCTCTCTCTCTCTCTCTCTCTCTCTCTCTCTCTCTCTCTCTCTCTCTCTCTCTCTCTCTCTCTCTCCCTCTGTCTGTCTGTCTGTCTGTCTGTTTGACTGTCTGTCTGTATGTCTGCCTCTCTGTCTCTGTCTCTCTGTCTCTCTGTCTCTCTGTTTCTCTCTCTCTCTCTCTCTCTCTCTCTCTCTCTCTCTCTCTCTCTCTCTCTCTCCCTCGCGCAGACAGACACACTGTCATCAGAACGCCCCCTTTAAAAAAAAATGTTTTAAGTCAAAGGTTATAATGTGAAAAGACAAAAGAGGTGAACTTCTTTTTTTCAGGTTATAGATATGGCCAAATCGGATGATGGAGATTTCGAAGATGAGGAATGCATTCTGCATGGGTGGGGACGTCTGTCCGCCGGCGGGGTGAGTCCCACCATCCTTCAGAACGCGACCTTCACCGGAGTGAGTTACAACGAATGTCGTGCCCTGTTCGCAGCGGTTAGCATTCAGGTCAGGTGGTCAAACTTCTGCGCCTTCAACTACCCTAAGTCTGAATGCACCGGAGACTCTGGGGGCCCTCTGGTCTGTCGAGGCAAGCTCGTAGGCGTCGTTTCTTGGGGATTGTCCAACTGTTCCGGCTGTTTCCCCGGCGTCTACGCCCGAGTTGCCGCTTTCGAGTGGTGGATTCGTCGTTTTGTAAATTAAAAGCGTAATAAGATCCGAAGGAATGATGAATAATACCATCAACCAGCTGCTTTTCAGAAGTATTCGATCTAAGCCCATTTTTTAGTAATCTTTTTATTGCGTTCAAAAAATTGTTGACGTATTTGTGTGCTTAAAAAAACAAACAAACATAAAAAACGAGGCATTGGTTGCTTTGTTCTCGAGAAATAGGTTGTTGAAATACAAACTTTGAATAAAAACAACAACCCAACAATATCTGTGCTTAGAGCTGTGGAACAGCTTACCAAAGGTACACATTATGTATTGTTAAACAGGTTTGTCTGTCTGCTTTTTCCGCCTTTCTTTGTTTAAAGTTACAGCTCCTGTAGAATTTAGTTTTTGGCATTTGTTTTTAATAACGTGTAACGTATATTATTATACTAAATGACAAAATTTGGCTGGCGAAACACAAGCAAAAAATCTCCCGTTTGTTTGATATAGATCTATATCTGGCTGTTTTTACTTTTAAACCCAATTCGGTGAGCGATTCCTTTTGTTCTCTTTAGTATGTTGTTTTCATCTGTTCTCCCCTCATCGTTTTTCCTTATGCGCTCAGCGCGTTGGGCATCTAAAAGACTGTCAGGAAAGGCGAATCCTGTGAGCACATTATGGTTTGCAAAGGAAACCCTAACGCTTTTGTGGGCTAAGCTGTTGAGGGTTAAACAACAATTTCCTAAATGTTTACACGTGTGCAATTTCTATCAGTGGTAGAACCTTTGTCCAGTTTTGTTTTGACTGAATAAAAACTTTCGGCAGAGAAAATGTGTTGATGACATTCCAGTTTGTTAGTATATCAAGGTAATTTATATTATGTTTGCTCTTGGTGGCTGCCTCTGAGTGTTTAAATATACGAACATGTTTTGTACGTGTGCTGTGTACGTTTCATGTGATGTTTTTGTTTTTGTGTGAAACTGTATTTTATAATAATAATAATCATCATAAATGTATAATTGTAATAATAATAATAATAATAATAGTAATAATAATAATAATAATAATTTTACATTTTCGTCCTTGCTTGAAAGTGTTTTATATGGTGCTTTTGTTGTTGTGTTTTAGATAAGATACTATAAGATACATCGTTGTAGTCCAGATCCTGACACACTGGTTTGGTGCTTCACCAGGTACACAAATAGACACACATACACACACACACACACACACACACACACACACACACACACACACACACACACACACACACACACACATGGGGAGGACTGGACTGGTGTACAACCAGGGGCACAAAATCAAGGGACATAACGGAATCGTTTCCACTGCTACGCTTCATAATATTTTAATATCGGTACAACGAACTGTAGTAAAAATGACTGTGAGCAGCATGAACTATGACGCAACAAGTTATTAATCAGTGCTTTGTCCCAATGATGTGCTATGGATGTCAAACCTGCCCAATTACCTGAAAATAAATCAGAGAGCAGTAGAAAGGAAGATGTTAGTTAGCAGAAGACAAAATCAAATAAAACACACGGAAATACGAGAGAAAACAGGGATGGCAAATATCCCCAAATCTATTCTCTGACAAAAATGGCAATGGTTGGTCATTGTTCGCCTCTCATTCAAGAGGTCGTGGGTTCAAATGCCGACAGAGAAGGAACATTTTCTTCTCTTAAAAAATGTTGTCCTTTCACATCCTGCTCTCTGTCAATGTTCTGTCGTCTGCTTTGGTCTCCACCTTCTGCCCCCACCCCCTCACCTCTTTGCCCCTTCTTCTAGACTCCTGACTCTTACTGCAGCCTTTCTACTGCTACTCTTTGGCTCCTTCTAACTGCTGTCTTTCAGCCTCACACCTGATCTTATGGTAGGAAAGATCTACACCAAGCCTTCTCGGACAAGGGCAAAAAAATCTCGGAGGTCCCGTGTGCAAGCTGCGGACGTTAAAGATCCCCTGGTGTTCCAAAATCGATATGAGTAGGCTTCGGCCGCCACCCGGGCAACATTTAAAATTTCATATCAACAGAAAAGGTTTAATCTGTCATACGCGCTCATATGACCTTTTGAAGTTGCAAGCGCCGTGAAACACTAACAAGCAAAAAAAAAGAGCGTAGACAGCAGCAAATTGGGTATTATAATCAGCTAACAGAGGAGAGTGGAGGTCATTGTAGTGGGGTTACATCCTACAGTGGACGGACAACACCTTGAAGAAATAGAAAAGGTTATGAGTGGGGCCGTGCGAGGTCTACAGGTAAGGTGTTCGCCTTTCATTCAATAGTTCACGGGTTCGAAATCAGCTGGGAGCGACGAAAATTTTTTATTTCTCTTAAATTGTTTCCTTTCACTTCCACTCCTGCTCTCTAACCATATTCTGTTGTCTGCTTTCGTCTTCACTTTGTGCCCCTTCCCCCGCCGCCTTTGCACCATCTTTTGGGCTTCTGGCTATTTCTGCTGCCTTTCAACAGATATTCCTTGGTTCCTTCTCATTACTGTCTTTCAGCCACATCCCAGAAGTCAGCGTAGGTAGAATCGAACACAGAGTATTTTTGGATAAGGGAAGAAAAAAATTTTGGAGGTCCTGTGTGCAAGTTGAGCGCGTTAAAGGTCCCTTAGTGGTCCCCAAATCGATAAGAGTAGGCTTTGGTCGACACCCGGGAAAAATTAAAAAATCAATTCCTACCAAACTAAAAATTCGTAATGAGTCCCACGCACTCATATTATGACCTTATGCAGTTGCGAGCGCCGTAAAATATTTACCAAAGAAAAATTTGAAAATTTTGAAAAAATTGATGTTTACATTATCAAAGGGCAGGCAACCTACCATAGTTTACGTCTAGTGCATTACTCATGTCTCGTTGAGCAAAACTTTAACAATAGCAACTTTATTATAGCAACAACAAACAACAGCAACAGCAGCTTTAAGAATTTTTTTTTTTTTATTCCAAAGACTGATTATCCAATTTTGAAAACCCTCAACATAACCATAGCTTGGTTGGGTAAAAAAAAATATTTTTGCTTAATAACCATAGACTAGGCGAATGGAAAATTGTAAAAACAAATGAGACTTTGAGCTCTCTTCTGCGGCGTCAGAAAAGATAAGGAAGAGAGAACAAAAATGACTTAAGAGACGAAGCATTAAGCAACTAAACAGTGAAGGCGTGTGTGTGTGTGTGTGTGTGTGTGTGTGTGTGTGTGTGTGTGTGTGTGTGTGTGTGTGTGTGTGTGTGTGTGTGTGTGTGAGTGTGAGTATCTGTATGTGTGCTTGTGTGTTTGTATGAAAGTAGGTGAGTGAGTGTGAGCGTGTGTGTGCATTGTGCATGTGTGTGTGTGTGTTTGTATGTAAGTAAGTGAGTGAGTGTTAGGGTGTGTGCGTGTGTGTGCATGTGTGTGCGTGTTTGTGTGTACATGTGTGTATATGTGTGTGTATGCGTATGTGTGTATGTGTGTATGTGCGTGTGCGTATGTGTGTGTGCGTATGTGTGTATGTGTGTGCGTTTATGTGGTTTGTTTCCAGTAGTAACACAGCTGTATGCTCGGAAACAATTACATGTATTATTATATCGGTGCTCCTGCTGGAGGTTTACACATCACCCCCCCCCCCCAAATCAATGCACAGCCCTCTACATCATTACCGCTACTAACTATCGCCCCACCTCATCACACACAAACACTCAAACACACACACAAACACACAAACACACAAACACACATTCACATACGCTCACACTCACATAGATACACACACAGTCACACACACACGCACACTTACACACACACAAACACACACACACACACACACACACACACACTTACACACACACACAAACACGCGCTCTCTCTCACACACATACACATTCCCACTCCCCCCCCCCACATACACACACATACATACATACAT